AATCCTCTACTTGTAGGTAGAGAAAGGAGGATCAGAAGTTCAAGGACAGGGCTTGGGAGATGGCTTTGGGGGTAAAGTGCTTGCCCTGTAATCATGAGAACCTGAGTTTAGATCTCTAGAACCCATGTAAAAAACCAGGTGCTAGAGTATATGGCAGTGCTGTGAGTGACTATCATCCAAGCTAAGGAACCACTATCTTGGGGGAATTCAGTGTTCCCCTCTTACAAAAGGATCATCCCAGCTAGGCTTGTTGACTGTGTACACCCGTTCATAGAGGAGAAGGGAGGGCCACAAGACCTGCACCTGAGTACATACTTTTCCCTACCACCTGTTATAGGCAACTCTACTTTAATTGCTCATAGCTTCAGGAAGAGGCTAGAGTATATAGTCACGGTAAGACCTGTGGGAGGCAGGCTCTATTTTGTGGTTGTGGAAAAGCCCCCGTCCATATTGGTTAAAGGCTTTCCAGGTATGGGCTGTTGTTGTGACTTTAGAAGTAATAGACACTGCTTATGTATTTCCTTGGGAAGAAATGATCCTGCTGTTTGAGGTTGCGGTCTTCCCAGTCTGGATAGCCATTCTGAGCTCGGCATAAGGTTTAGGGCCTCTTACTCTCTGCCTGACTTCACCTGGAGAGACTCCCCTAACCACATTTGATATATGGCCTTTGACACAACTCCATGCTAGCTCTTCCCTCCCTGCGTCTATGTGATAATTAGGTACTATGTTTCCATTTATATGATAGGAGTGTGCTGTTTAATGCAAATCAAGCATCCTTGAAGTTCCTAGTTCCAACCAATTATGTATACCTATCCTAGGAGCACCCCCTCCCCAAGGAGTATGTAGCCTTTGTTCTTTGGAATTAAAGTTGAACTAGCTCTCTGAAGTGGTTCCTTGAGTGTATGATCTTTGTACAGTGCCCACCAGCCATTCCAGGCACGCTTCTCGTCCCCTGCACTCCCTGACTGCATGGAGACTGCATGGGTTGGTGGGAGACAGCCCCCATGCAGGAGAACCACAGGGATTTTAGCAACAGTCTGCAATCCTAGCATGAAGGAGGCAGAGACAGGAGGATACCTGGAGCTCGCTGGCCAGTTAATGTAAACAAATCAGTGAGCTTTGGGTTCAACGAGAGACCCTGTCTCAAAAGAAAAAGGTGGAGGGGCTGGAGAGATGGCTTAGCGGTTAAGAGCACTGCCTGTTCTTCCAGAGGACTCGTGTTCAGTTCTCAGCAACCACATGGTGCTTCACAGCCAGTTGCAGGGGATCTGATACCTTTTTCTGTTCTCCATGAGCACTAGGTAAACACATGGTGCACAGACATAACATGCAGGCAAAATGCCCATACACGTAAAACAAAAATTAATAAATCTTGAAAACAATAAGGTAGGGAGAAATTGAGAAAGACCTGGCACAACACTTGGTTTTCAGAATAGGCTAAATTATGGGCATTTAATAAAAAACCAGTGGCTCTGAAACAGTTTCTTTAAAATGCACAGGTGTTCCACAGCAGAGGTGATGAAGAAAATGTATTTAGGTGAGTAAGAAAGCTGAAGTGGAGTTAGACCTAGTAATGGTAAACATACAGCTCTTATTCCTCCCTGGCAGGAGGTCTAGGGAGGACATGCCATCCTTAGTGAGTGAAGACACAAGGATGAACTGGATTGGTGTTCATGATGTTTGTGTGCAGAATTCACCTTGGGTAAAGACTGCTTATGTTTATGAAACTTTTTTCTTTGTTTCTTTCTTGTTTGTTTGTTTCAAGACAGGGTCTTTCATTGCTCAGGCTAGCTTGGAACTTTCTATGCAGCTAAGGATGATCTTGGTGACATTGTACTTCTGATCCTCCTGCCTCTATCTCCCAAGTGCTAAGATGTAAGCCAAGTAAGATGTAAGTGCAAGTGTAAGCCAAGCATGATGAACACCTTTCACCTTTAACCCCAGTACTTAGGCGGCACAGACAGGTGGATCTCTGTGAGTTCCAGGCCAGTTAGGGATACATAATGAGATCCTGTTTCAGACCAAACCAAAGTGAACTAAACCAAGTGTGCACCAACATGTCCTACTTATGTGAATGTTGGGGACTGAACTAGGTTTGTGCATGTTAGGCAAGCACTCAACCAACTAAGCTACATTCCCAGCACTGGGAAAATATTTTGATAGAACTTTTCATTATGTAAGGAAATGATCTGGAAAATTGAATATGATAAGGGAGTGTGATAAAATGGATAACTACCCCCCCTCCTTAAAAACTTGGTCTCATTAAGGAAGGGGGCATGCCCATAAAATATGTATTCTTTTTAGCACAAAACAATTTACTTATTCATTCATTTAAAAAGTGTGTGTGTATGTGTATGTGTGTGCACTATGGCACATACATGGAGGTCAGAGGGTATTATTTAGGAGATGGCTCTCTCCTTCTAACACTTGTGTCTAGAGGATTGAACTTAGGCCACCAGGGTTGGCAGCAAGTATCTTTACCCAACTCCCAAACATTATTATTATTATTATTATTATTATTATTATTATTATTATTATTATTATTATTATTTGCGTGTGTGTGAGAGAGAGGCGAAGAGAGAGAAAGTTGGAAACATCACTTCTTAGAGGTGTAATGTGAATATTCAGGGCAATGGTGTGTTCTGTGGGGGCAGAAGTATGAAGGCTGCTCAGAGTGGCCATTATGATGTATACATATTTCCTGAGAATATTCTGGAGGTACCTGGATCTCCACTGTTGAAAAAGTGCTAATTTATCTAGCACTAGTATGAATCTGTGAAGACAGAGAGATGTACTGAAGGCTGAGTAGGGCAGTATCTAGTTCAATATTGAAGGGAAATAAATTTATTTGAGCCACATGTAGACTTCCAAATTCCTTCCTTCCCCCCCTTTCCATTTTTTGGGTGTGTGTGTGTGTGTGTGTGTGTGTGTGTGTGTGTGTGTGTGCTCATTTGTATGTATAGGCTGGAAGTCAAAGTTGGCTGTCTTCCTCAGTTGTTTCACCAGCTTGTTCTTTGAGGCAGCAGTCTCTCACTGAAGCTGGAGCTCATAAATTCAGGTAGACTAGCTAACCAGCAAGCCTCAAGAATTCTGCTTCAGCATCCCCAGTGCTGTGTCTCTGCTGCAGCACCTAGCTTTTGTTTGATTGTTTAATGTGGGTGCCAGGAATCCTAACTCAGATCCTAATGCTTGTTTGACAAGCACTGTATCAATTAAGTCACCTCCCCAGACTCCTTCTCTCTTCTTTCTTTCTCTCCTTTCCTCCCCCTTCCCTCCCTCCCTCTCTCCCTCTTTCTTCTTTCTTTCTTTCTTTCTTTCTTTCTTTCTTTCTTTCTTTCTTTC